CCAGAACCAAATTTATCTTCTGCAATTTCACGCCTGTATGTAGACAACCCAACCGACCGACGTTTCGCGCGGAGCGATGCAGAGCGAGTTAGCGCGAGGAAGCGACATGGGAGGGAAGGAGAGAAAACGTCAGTCAAAAGCACTAACGTTATTGAAAAATTCCAATTTTTTGCGTATTTTGGTATGAAGCCGACTTCCTACAAGGCAGTAAACAATAAATTCGGATGCAGCACATTCGATAACATATAAAACCGTTGATAAAAAAACTTCCGCAATTTTGTTCCGAAAGCGGCAGTTTTAAACACGCATTTACTGGACTAGTAGTGCGACCCGCGACCTCAAACCGAGGCGGCGCGCGGCGGCGGCCGGCGTGTGTATCGGCTGACGTTTTGGCGCTCGTTTTGGCGTAAAAATGTCCGATTTAACTTAAAAAATTTGGATTGTAGGCCGTAGGTTCCCACATCAAACTAGAAGACAATTAATTGCTCTACAAAATGCGAGACAAAATAGTCTTTTTTTCGTAGTGTGTCATTTTCGGAGATTCATTTTTTGATATGCTAAGGGCAGAATTTCTTGAACTAAGTTATTTTTCATTGACAGAAATTTTATTTGAAGGTTTCTATGCGGAAACGGGATAGATTGACTGGACTAAAACATATTTAGTTGATATTTTTCGAGATATTTTTTTACTTCTAGTTTCTAGGTTTGTACCTACTTCCGGTAAATGTGGTTTTTCTTAGATTTCAAATAGAATAGTCCTACATTAAAAACTTAAAATTTCATTTTTCAGATTTTTCTCCGAAACTTCTAAATGTAACATACATCCTTCATGTCCACTTGGTTTGTTTCAACCTCGGTTTCAACTATGAAATGTTGGTACAGAACGAGAAGGTTCGCTCAGGTGAACCTACAACCTTTAGGGCCGGCTTTTTTTTCATTACTGTGAACTGTAATCGGATTTATGGCTCAGTGGTAGAGCATTGGGTTATAAATCCGAAGGTCGGGTGTTCGAACCTGGGTTGAGGTGAATTTTTCATCTGTGGCGGAGATCGAAATTACCTTAGACCAGTTCCGAGCATTCTACCGGCTGCTCCGAATTAGGTTTTCCTGCAGTTTTCCTAATTTGTAAGGTAAATACCGGAGTAGTATAGACCAACTTAAGACCTTCTGCAGAGGCACCTCTAAATAGCATTATGCGGGTCACTCTGTAATTGGGCGCATGCCTGTTGAGGGCCCAAAACAAGAGAGGGATAAAAATAAAATAAAATAAAATAAAACTGCCCGAGAGTTAGCATCCATAGAAACAAATGCATTCGCGCCGTATTGGAATAGGAGCTTATCTATCGAATAAGTAAGTATAACTGGCACATGAAAAGCTGGTTCTTGGTCCGTTTTTGGTACCTACAGATAGTTATCGGCTTATCGCTATCGAAATTTTTAGCCTATCTCTCGGCATATTATCTAGTGTAGATATTTTTATCGACAAAGCTCATCTCAAGTACTTCAAAACGGGCGGAAAATTCCCAAATTCCGCGACCAATTACATGCAAAAACCGCGGTCTTTTACGGTAACTGCTTTATTACCTAATTGGTGCCCAATTATACACACACTTAAATTACATTATTCGCAAATGACCGACCATTGTAAAATTAACACAAACGGTATTTGTTCAAGGTGCACATTGCGGTGTTCGCAATTTTGCTATTCACATCGGTAAACAACATTTTAGTAAACCGTTAGGATTTTAGTTAGTAGGTGACTCGAGCCTTACCTTTGATATATTCGGCATGTGGAATTGTTCACTCGCTTATCGCTGGCGTGTCGTCTGCGATCTTCGAAAAGGTCCTTAACGGCGGTCACGCCGAGTACGAACAGTACTGGAATCATGGCAATTTCTTTGCCAAAAGCGTTAATCGCGGGAAACCAATTGAGCAATACGATAAATATAAAATACAAATTAGCGACCCTATGAAATTGTTCTAGTAAATTCCTAGGTAAAAAGGATAGTAACGTATATTTAGTAGTCCGAACTTTGTTATTGGGTCTATTGCCATTTGGATGTTCCTTTCTAGGCGTCTTAGGAGGAACCGTATGGTTAGGCACTACTATACGATAACGTTCTTCTTGTTCACTACGCGGAGATCGTCTCAATAAAGTACACACGAGCCTCTGCCACAAAGGTGGAGGAAGCGAACGTCTTAAGGTGTAAATCGAATCCGAACGAGATGCCTGTCTAGAATGCCCTTTTGAAGACGACTTCACACCGCTGCTCGCCAAGTTTTCGCCCTCTTTGTGTCCTGGAGGCAGTATGAAATCAGTTTTCGATCCTACTCTACTATGTCCAGGTCGTAACCCTGCGGAGGAATCTGTTATTTGACCTTGCGAAAACGCTCTTTGATGTCCTCGTGCCATTTTAAGAGCCGAAGGTCGACCCGCAGCACCTGCGGTTACGTTACCTCCGAGGGTTGTACTTCCGCCGTGACTGGCGCTTCTCCCGTGTCCTCGCACTTCTGGAGATTTTGTCTCTGGAAAGGTGTACGTGGCACATTGAGCACCACGTACAGAGAGCAAATCTGTTGTTGTCTCCGCAGCCCTGACATTTTCGCCTCCGCTTAACGTATTGGACATTCTTAAACATCTGGTACTTTCCACAATTCGCTTATCAATCTCTTCTGAATGCGAACTAAGCAATTATTTATTTATCGAATGCACATAAAAGTCGGAACACTAATCACTAGCCTTTACTCATAAAATGTATGTTTTTTAAGTTCATAATGAATTAAAAAGTGTCGCAGATATTGTTAAAAGTTTTATTGACGTACTAATAAACTACTTAACCTCACGTACGACAAAAACCAACACAACTTCCACTCACGAAAGCACAACATTAACTAAACACACGCGATACAAACCAGTAAACCTATCTAATCGCCATCTGTCAACTTGACAGCAACCTTTGCCTAGCAACCAACATAAAAGATTGAAAAACACAGCGGAACGCTCGGTAACTGTTTTTTTACAGAGACGTATTCAGGTATATTGGTTCGGTGACGAAAATTTGATTAAAAATCACTTTATTGGATAAAACAAAAAAATGTAAATGTCTATATGGACTATGTATGTTCGTACGAGTGTGTGTCACGTTTGGTATTATTATTGATGGTAGGGCCGAGGATGCAAACGCATCGGATGTAACTACAGGGTGATTCCTATAGTACCTGCCACCGTTTGGGAGCGTGTAGGTGGTGCGTAGGGGAGTATTTTGATATAGGACACTTGGGGTCGGAAATCTAAAATAAGGGTGCCAGAGCCAAATTTACCTTCTGGAATTTCGCGCCTGTAGGTAGGCAACCCAACCGGCCGGCGGTGCACACGGAGCGATCTCAGGCGGCGATGTGTGGCTGACACTTGATCAGAATTTTGTTTAAACCCACGAAATCCCGTCTGCAACGACGCGTATCAAGTGAATAAACACTATGGCAATAGTATAATAATAGTTGGCTAGATGTAGGAAGTGCATTGAGAACAACGGTGGCCACGTTGAACACTTGTAAACGTTATTGCTTTTGACTGTCGTTTTCCCTCCTTCCCTCCCATGTCGCTTCCTCGCGCTAACTCGCTCTGCATCGCTCCGCGCGAAACGTCGGTCGGTTGGGTTGCCTACATACAGGCGTGAAATTCCAGAAGATAAATTTGGTTCTGGCGCCCTTGTTTTAGATTTCCGACCCCAAGTGTCCTATATCAAAATACTCCCCTAGGCACCCCCTATACGCTCCCAAACGGTGGCAGGTACTATAGGAATCACCCTGTATGTAAGTAACATTTGCGGTGACGTTTAAAGTCAGTGCAGTGTGTTGAGAAAGACAGCCGCGTATTTAAGTGTATTTACACATTATTTTATTAGTATTAATTTGTAGTATATAATAATAAAAAGATGGATGGAGTAACTTATCACTTGGGTATTCAGCTTTCAGCGTTGATGTTGACTCTTCCTTTAAATACAATTCAATTTGCTTATATAAGTAGTAAACGAAAGGTTTCTAGAAAAATCACGGAACATTCTCGAACAGTCCAAATGACGTATCATATTTCAAGGAAAGAATGCGCCACATCCACTTTCATCCCTTATCGCCGGTGGCTAATCTTTTATCGACTTCATGGCAGCTCTACAGAGGTTCTCCTGTGCACAGGTCGTGACGACTAACATCTCTGCCTGAAACACGGGACGATGCTGATCAAGGAAGAAGCAGATGTCATCTCTCGCGATCGATCACCATATAAATACGCATGCTTGTTCTCCCTACTGGTAGGGTTGATGGACGATTGATCTGAGTTCAACCCTAGGTTCAGCCATTGCTCCATGTCCGCGGTAGAATGGCTTTATAACTTTTTGGTCTTAGTGAGACAGCCCGGAGGGACTCCCTGATATCCATCCTTGCCCAAGGCAAGGTTCCTTTCACTCACCCAATGCGTTTAACAGCATAGAAGCTCTCCGAGCCTCCGCCCCCATAGCTGAGCCCAAATCCGCTCACCTTCTATTCGTGAATGGCCATTGCTTTTCAGCTATCACAAGATCGCCCTTATATATACGCTCCGTCCTCGTTCACTGTGCGGAACAGCCAATCAAGCACCAGGCACCACAGTATAATAGAAAGTTTCCTGAAAACAACACTCCACTCTGCGGCAGGGGTTGGACCTCATATCAAATAGTATAAGTCCGGTAGAATTATTTTTTACGTGTTCCTGTATCGATTCTGGTTTTGTGCTTCAGTAATTTTAGGTTCCGGTACCAGTTGTTTTTCGGTTCGAAGAATTCCATAATATAAATAAATAAAAAATGTATGGTACACAAGATTCAATTACAGGTACATTATTGTTTTTCTATAAATATTTTTTTGTTGAATTGAAACGTCATTTTAGCTTGCGCGTTTGCTTCACCTCTGTAAGCTGCCTGATTTTTTCTACTTTCCTTTCCAATAGCAGTATAAGTAAAACACTAAGGGCCGGTTGTACAAGTGTGAAGTTCAGGGATGGTTTAACTAAACTACGCCCAAGTTTTGAGCGTAGTTTTCGTTTAACCTCGTTGTACAAACTGCGTTCAAACTTCGTTTACCAAAACCACAATTTTCTGTTGTTGGCAACGTGCAAACATGCGCATAAAGAATTAATTGGATATTTGTTGTGAATAAACTTAACCTTCAATCAATACTAGTTTATTTATAACGATGTGCTCTAACGAAAAAAAAGTGCGTGCAGCCAATTTTACCGCGAAAGAAGAGGCAATATTAACCAGTTTAGTAAAACAATATGAACATGTCTTAGAGTGCAAAAAAACAGATGCGGTTACGAACCAACAAAAGACCGAAGCCTGGTCAAATGTTGCTCGGGAGTTCAATGTAGTAAACGACAGCCACCGTAGTGAAGCTGTGTTAAAAAAGAAGTTCGAAAATCTAAAGAAAAGGGTGAAAAAGAAACTGTCTGAAAATAAAACGTATTCAATGGGAACTGGGGGTGGTCCTTACAAAGACACCCCATTAAATGACACCGAAGAGGGCATTAAAGATATACTTGGCCCAAGAGCAGAGGGATTTCAATCACAATTTGATGGGGATGCTAGTAAGTAAAAAATGTGTACATTATAAACAATTTACATACATTTTACTACTTCCAGTTGAAATTGAAATACCAGAAACAGACGACCTGCAAGTTAGTAATGGTAAATAAGGACTTCCAAGTGTGTGTGTGGTTCAATATTGTTTCGTTACAGAGATGATAGTAGAGTTTGCTAACGATCACGACTACAGTTCGACCGTAAAACCATCTGCAACAGATGATATCGAAAATAATGGTAGTATACGGTACTGGTCATAAAGTATTAAATCTAAGTTCCTTCTGAATTTGTAGGTGATAAAAACTGGAAAAAGTACACACCTAATATGCTTAAAAGAAAAAAATCAGCTGCGCTTTGTGTAAACACCACTGGTAAAATCACTTTCAGAAATGTACTATAAATACTAATTATTTTAAAATTTTAGATACATCCCAGGGTGTTATTAACAAGAAGATTTCGCAGTGGGCAGAGGCTAAAACAAAACTGGAAGAGAGTAGAATGGAAGGTGTTTTGGAAGAACAAAAAGTAAAATTAAAACATACGGAAGAGGAACATAAGTTAAATTTAGAAATAAAAAAGACAAAATCTGAGTTCGAACTAGAATGTATGAAAGAAGAACACAAATTAAAAATGGAAATTTTGAAGTTACAAAAAGATATGTTATTAAAAAATGTTAAACAATAAGTTTGTTCGTAATATACACTGTACACTATGCTAAGCGATTAAAGTATTCGTGAATAAGGTGATGACGTACAGCATTATTTAGTCCATTGTTGTAATATGGAACATTTTCCACTTCGAAATTTATTTCAGCAGCTGCAATAGCTTCTTGTTCTTCCTCATTTATGTCTGGCAGTGCATCATTAAAGTTCCTAGCTATATTATGTAATACTGCAGTTGCAATTACTATAGCCTCGACCTTTTCTGCGCGTTGTCGAATCCCAAATGACAATATGGGAAATCGGCGTTTCATCACACCAAAGCACCGTTCTATTGGGTTACGTGTGCGTATTTGGGATTCATTGAATAAATTTTCAGTACGAGTGATCGGATTTCTTAGAGGAGTAATTAAATACGGCTTAATAGCATATCCTGCATCTCCAACTAATAAGTACCCTCTAAAGTCTCCATTCTCAAATTGATTTCTTATTTGAGAATGTAAAAATATTGTGCTATCATGAGATGACCCAGGCCATCTGCATACAATATTTTGAATCCTCAGGCTTGCATCACAAACAGCTTGCACATTATAAGAAAAAAAATTTTTCCGATTTCGAAAAATCTCAGCATTGTTACCGGGGGATATAATCTTCACATGGGTACAGTCAATAGCACCAATGCATTTGGGGAAACGACTAATCATGTAAAAGCCTCTACTTCTTTCTCTCATTTCTTCCTCTGTGGTAGGCATTTTGATAAAAATGAGGTGTTGACTGGCAATGGCTCGACAGACTTTTGTAGTAAGTCTGCTTGCAGTAGATTTATCGATGCCAATAAAGTCGCCTGCAACTGACAAAAAGCAGCCAGTTGCTAAATACCTTAGTGCCAATAATACCATACACTCGGCACTTACTGCAAAGTTTCTGTAACGAAATTATACGATGTGGTTGGGTGGTAGCTACACTATAGGGTCGTTTTTATACCTGTTTGTGGGATGTGATATTTCTTCTTGTATTAAATCAATTACAAAACGAACTGAATCTTTGGATAACCTAAATCTATTTAAAAATTCCTTATCATTCCACTTTGTAAAGTGGTTATCTCGGTGCCTATATATCTTTGCTGCTCTTCTGCGTCCAATTATATTAATTACTTCTAGGAAATCTTCATCATCTGTTAGTGCATGCAACTCCATTACAATTTGGAGGGTAACAGCATTGATTATGTTAATCAATGGTAACAGGTATTACATAAAATTATAACCTAACAAAACTAACAAATCGGTGACTATGCGCAAAGAACCAAAACTAAGCTTAAACCAACAAAATCGGCTGCTTAAATAAAACAAAACTTAAGTTGCGTTTAGTTGTTGAGTGAAGTATGTACAACACTCTAAAAAATTGAACTGTGTTTAAACTCAGCTTAATTCTTAAACTCTGCTTAAGCTATACTTGTACAACCGACGTGTCGCCACCTTTCACACACCTCACAAGTAGATGGCGATGTAAAATTTGCTGCCAACTTAAAAAAATTGACAAATAAAATCTGAATAGCTGTCATTTTTTATAACCTAACTTCATAGTACTGTCATTCCCTTTAAATAAATCAAAGAATTTTTCACTTTACTGCCCGACCTTTCAAGACGATGGCATTCGTTAAAAAAAATAGATTGATTGTACTCTGTCGAATAATTTATTACCTACCTACTTACAATTCTATAAAATGTGTGAAACGAAATCCAATACGCACACAACAATTAATAGCAAGTATCGAAAGTTCATTAAATAATAAATTTGTCGAGGGTTTTGACGGGGCTACATGCTGTGAGGTCGGCGACATCCGGGCGCCATCGCCGAGCGCGGTTTACTAACGTGGTGATTTTTTAGTTTTTTCCTATTTTCTTCTGCAGGAAAAACTGCAATGGCAGTTTATCCTATTTGTTTGTAACTCATTGTATTTCCTCTATGGCTTTACTTTTATTCGAAGTGTCTACATATGGAATTTTTTATAAATGCTTTCGTAAATAGCATTGCGCATTGTCTACATTAGAAATTTAATTGAATACCTTCATAAATAAAACATACCGCATGCGTAAACAGTAAATTTGAAACCGGTGTTAGTTTTAGTTTAATTCAAAGTGCCTACATATGATATTTCATTTAACTGCTTTCATAAATAAGAAAGTTGGCACTGCGCATGCGCAAAACCAAAAATATCGGTACTCACGGAATCCTTGAGCCCTTTCAAATGAGCCCTATATCGCCCAAATCGGTTCAGTGGTGCTGAAGGAGTACGTGTGACGGACGGACGGACGTCAAAGTGCAGCCAATAGCGCTAAAAACCCTTTGACCTCAGTCTTTTGCCGTCTTCTAAATCTTTATTGATGTTGCATTAAAGGTGAGACGGTCCACTGTATGAGTGCGTTGATGGGGGAGTGGTCAGAAACTTTCTGAGCGAATCAGAATGACTCACGCTCGTGTATTGTCATTTAAGGTTCCCCCGTTCATTCCGAAGTCCGGTGTGAAGATTGCGGTAACCGATTCTCAAATGGCTGTGAGTAATGGTACTAACGTCGATATGGACCGGGTAACCCAGCTGCAGGAGGAGCTGCCCTCGCCCGAAGAACTGAACAACCTCAAACTCAACCCGATCGAGTTCGAAAAGGACGACGACGCCAACCTGCACATGGACTACATCGTCGCCGCCTCGAATCTACGGGCCGCAAATTACAAGATACCGCCCGCCGACCGTCACCGTTCCAAATTGATAGCGGGCAAAATTATACCGGCGATAGCGACGACGACGTCGGTCGTCTCCGGAATGGTCTGCCTCGAGCTGTACAAGTTGCTGAACGGAATGGAGAAGTTGGATCCGTTCAAGAACGGCTTCGTAAATTTGGCGCTCCCCTTCTTGGGATTCTCGGAGCCGATCGCCGCGCCCAAGATGGAATACTGCGGCAACGCGTGGACGCTGTGGGACCGATTCGAGATCGACGGCGAGATGACGCTCAGCGAGTTTCTCGACTACTTCAAAACGAAGCACGGACTGGAAATCACGATGTTGTCGCAGGGCGTCTGCATGCTTTACTCGTTTTTCATGGCGAAGTCCAAGGCGCAGGAGAGGCTAAATTTGCCGATGTCCGAGGTGGTTAAGAAGGTATCAAAACGCCGCATCGAACCGCACGTAAGGGCTCTAGTTTTTGAATTATGTTGCAACGATGCCGATGGTAATGATGTCGAAGTGCCGTACGTGAAGTATACGCTACCTTGAGTTATATTAATGTAAGTAACCTGTATTTGCACAGACTTAAAATTTCAAGTGACTTCATGGACCGTGATTGATAATTCCATCACCATTCTGTATTTAATTTATATTGTATTACTATTCCTTCCGATTGCAATTTAAAAATGTTTGTATTAGAGTCGTTGGAATGTAGTTTGCATTTGTGGCTTATTTTCTTATTTTTGTGTGAAATTCTAATAAAATATTAGTATTTTCTAGCAGCTTTATATTTTTCTAATGTTTACAAATTTTAGAAAACTTCGCTGTAAGCTGTTTCAAAAATTTGGTTTTGAATTGTATTTCGTTTAACATAGGAAAATTTACACGTGCACCGCTTCATAGCGAACATGAATGAAGGTGTGTCTGGCGATAACAAGAACCATATTGGAGAAATGGCCCCAGCATAGACGCGCCCATGATGTGCACGTTTTAGTTATTTTCTAGGGGAATTTTCCTAGTGCTCAAGTTTTGAGACTAGTGCAGCCTTGGAAAATGACATGTGTCACAGTAATTTATTTAGAACATGTGAGGTTAATGTTTGTTTATTAGTTGATTTGAATTTCGCGCCATGTAAGTGTAGGTGTCATTTGTCAATTCAGCATTAGCAGTCCATCTTAATTTATAAGTTCGTGGACAGAGGCCACATGCGGACTTTGTTGACAGCCAAATGAGACAGCTTAACGTATTCTATGTCGATGCGAGGCTGATGCCGGGAAAAGGCTAAATCGAGGTATTTTAAGTTTAGTTGAGATGTCGCCACGTACGTAACTTCATTTGAAATTGCTTTTGAATTTATGCGATTAATAGCCGCCTTGGACTTTGTTTTCCTTAAATGGCATTTCAAGATGGACGGAGTTCTTTTGAACTAGTAGCCCAATCTTGGAACTGTTTGAAATTATGGATTCTACAGGACACATTCTATAAGAAAATGTTTTTTCCGGGTCGATCTGAGACAATTTTTTCTTCGGGGCTCAAAAAAAGGCAGTCCTTCAGTGTTATACCTTCCTTTTTTACCAAAAATTGACTGCACCAAAATTTCTCGGGAAAACACATTTTCTTATTAATTTGGGTGCGTAGAATCCAAATCTATTCGTACTTTTTCGATCAGACTTCTCAATCAAAA